ATCGGTGTAGGCTCTGGGTGGCTACTTAGAGAAACTCCATATGTGACATAAATATGATGACAATAGTTACTCCAAATCATATTATTACGGTAATATAATCCAATTAATAATATTATTTTATTATAATACTAATAATGAAGGGTATCAAATTAAATTAATGATACTTATGTATACTTAAAAATTAAATGTAATTGCAGTGGGTATTAAATGTAATTACAGTAGGTATTAAATATAATTACATGAGGGTATTAAATGTAATTGTTAATACTTATAACAAAAAAAAAGCAAAAAACTTGCACAGCAGTGAGGTATTAAATATAATTACAGTATGTATTAAATATAATTATAATGGGTATTAAATATAATTATAGTAGGGTATTAAGTGTAATTATTTATTCTTATAACAAAAAAATTATAAAAGACAGAAGAGCAGTGGGAATTAAATGTAATTATAGTGGGATATTAAATATAATTATAGTGAGTATTAAATGTAATTACAGTGGGTATTAAATGTAATTATAATGGGGTATTAAATATAATTATTCATAATGAACCGAATATATCACTGTTTTGTCGAAACGGTTCGAAACAATGCCGTTTCGACCGAAACGGTCCGAAACAGTACCGTTTCGACCGAAACACTGGAATTTTGTGATTCAACTACTGTTTCGTTTCGGAGTGTTGAAATTCCGAAACGTTTCGGACGTTTCGGACGTGTCGACACGACATTTTGATCCTTGAACTCAACACACTCCCTTACGATGAGTACTCCTATTACTTTTAAAACTCTACAAATAAGATTAAATCCACAATCAATACACTCACAAATAATCACACAAGGGACAAATTCACAAAAAAAAAAATAATTAAACTCAATAACAGACATAACAAATAAAAAAACCTGAAATGCATAAATTTTAATATCATACATAATTCTACATATATGTTGTTCCACATACCAAAGAAAGATAAACTCACAGTACATCTTTCCACATAGTACTAATTAATTTTCCACCTAAATAAAATATTGAGAAATCACTCTTGATATTCCTATAATAAATTTAGTCTTTTCGGCTTCGGGGATGGTAAAAAGAAAGGTCAATAAGATCAAAGTTATGAGCCTACATACTCGAGGCTTAGTGTCTCACTCGTGGAAAAGTCAAGAATGTTCAAAAATTCTTCAAAAACCTTTTTCTTTTAGTCACGAACTACAACATCCATACCAATTGCACTCCAAACACATTTGTTGCCTCTTTAAGTCACAGACTACAACATCAATACCAATTGGGAGTTGATAACCACTCACATTAGTACTTAAACAAACATAGAGCTAAATAAATTTAGCATATTGAGCTAAAGAAATCTAACAAATTCACTTAGTATCTCTCCTGAGCTGGCAGTGGTTGAGCTCAAACTCAGATCTGCTTGACTCTAGCTGTGCGTGGCTTGTTTGCACAAATCTGGTAAGTATCTCTCCTCTTCTTCTTCTTCTTCTTCGCTTTGTTGCTCTTTTCCATCTCATCCTCTCTCTGTTTCTTCTATTATTGTTTGTTTTGTTGTCCTCTGTTGCATGTTATGTGAGTAGGACGAAGGAATCTAACTCTGCCTTTCTCTTTCTTCCATGATTTTTTACCCTTTTCTCTATTGTAGAGCTGCAATTGAGCTTAAGGAATCTCCCATTTTGCAGAAAAATAAGCTTTTTGTCGAATCACATGTCAGTTTCAACCGAAACAGACTTTATTTGCTCGAAAGGTCTTGAATCAAGGTCGTTTCGATCGAAGCACGTGAATTCCCCTTTTCCTCTACTTTTTCGTTTCGTTTTGTCATGAAACCGAAATGTTTCGTGCATTTTGATTGATTTGACACACATTTTTAATTCTTGGACATAGAAAAACAAGCATATAGAAAGAATGATCAGACATTAAGTGCATATAAAAACAAGCATATGGAAAGAAAAAAAAAGCAACTGTCTATTAGTTACATGCATATACACATTCTATCTAATGATCAGATACCCAATCAAAAAAATAGACAAGACACTGTAAAATCTAATTAAACTACAAGAAACAAAAAAAATAGATACCTCTTCATCATTTTGTCCCTCTTTCCCTTCACTCTAATTTATTCATACTATTTCCCTTTAAAAAATCTTGTATGCCAAACTATATATATAATTGAAAATGGGGGGAGTTGGTGAGTAAGTGAAGATAAAAGCAGAGAGCTCCCTATCATGTGGGGCTTTCTTCCCTTTCACATTATCTTAACGTAGACGGGTTGATTTGCAAGTCAATTGAGTTGGCCTGGTATGATAAATTATATGGTGATCTTGAGTTTTCAATTATAGTCATGCATGGGGGTGCAATACAAGGTGCTATGAGAAAAATTGGAGGCCAAGGCCAACTTGAAGTCGAAATAACCGAAGTCAATGTATCCAAACAACAATCTAAGTTAGGGGGAGTAAACGCTAAGCACCCTAGAGAATTAAAACTATGCTTGAAATAAGGTTTCTGAAGTCTATCGATCGGAAAAGCTCAATAGTCACCATGCATTGCCATCACAATTAGTATGCAAACAGTCTTGTACCTTGGCCCTTCCTAAAGCCATTGTGGTCACACTGTACACAATCTACATTATTGCCTACACAAAGATGTAGATATTGAGCTGATGGATCCCCACCGTTATTTTCCTTCTGCATTTTGACAAAAACCTTATCTGCATTGTAAAACACCCACTAGATCTTCAAAATTGGTTAGCTGAGGAGTCATGATTCACCAATAACATGTGTGAGTGGTTTCATATGCATAAAGTTCTAGTTTATATCTTTTTTTTACATTGTCTAGTTTCTTTGGCTATGTGGTATAATTTGTTTCGAATGGTGGATTTGAGTTGGGTGATTCGTGCTTCATCCATATCTTTCTTTATTGAAGAGATTAAAGGCTTTGGAAGATATGATAAAGGTGTGACTCTTTGTAACTGTGCTATTTTTGCTATTTTTTGGGTTATTTGGAAGTAAAGAAATACAAGAATTTTTAAAGATCAATATGAGTCTTTAGAAGGATTGTGGGACCGTATTCATTTCTTCGTCACATTTGGGCGTCGGTCTCAAAGTATTTCAAAGGAGTTTTGCTTTTTGCAATCTTAGCGGGATGGAGAGAGATTTGTGATTTATAGACTTGTTTTAGGAAGCATGGATACTTCCACAAGGTGCTGTGGCTGTGTTGGACACGGCTAGGATACGGCCAGACATGTGTCTGACATAGATAGAAGTGTCCTAAATAGTAAACTTAGTCTGGCACGATCTGAACACGGTTAGGATACATCTAGGACATGTCAAAAAAAATTTTTATTAAAAAAATAACTTTTAACTATTAAAAAGAGTGTGATTTTTACTTTTTTTTATATATTTTTTGTTATGTAACTTATATATTATGAATGTTAATAGATGTCATGATGTTTGATGAAAATGCAAGATATTTAATTTGATCTATTTCAATTTTAATCAAAAAAATAATATTTGCTAGGTCTTCTTATTAATATTGTTATAATATATGCTTTATATTTAATATATTACAACTCTATTATTATTTAAAATATATATTATATTATTTAATAGCCGTATTCTTATTGTATCTGTGTTCTATATTTTTGAATTTCAGCATATCCCTGTATCTGTATTGTATCGAATACGACACCCATACCGTATTCGTGCTTCCTACGACCTATTATGTAACTTTATTTTTCCTTTATTTTCTTTTATTCTTTGATTTAACACTCATTTTTTAAATTATTAATATAAGCATTTGATTTCTTATAAAAAAAAGTCTAGTTCATATCTTGAATTAGAAAAGAAAAAAGAGATTTGAAAAATTGAAGCAAAGTGTTTTCAAGAGACAGACTCACATTTGAAATGGCAAAAAAATTCCAAACCCTAAAAATTTGCGATTATATCTACTAAATTTAACAAGAAACTACTTGAAATTGGTTGGATCTAAGCTAATATAGGTTGGTCCTTGCCACCTATATGAACCTTTGCTTCATAAAGAGATGAGGGACCGGAAGAATGTGATTAGGAGGGGATGAGGAGAGAGGTGGAGTGCCATGGCGTTAGTGAGGAAGAGGGGAAGATGTGAGGAAAGAAGAGGAGAGATTAGGGGAGTGGGAGACCGATGATCAGGAAGGGAAAGGAGCGATTTTTTTTTTTCCCCGGAATGGTGCACTAGTGGGTGGGAAAGGAATGGAAATAACCATAGTAGATTTGGTAATGCCTAATCCCATTATTTGTGGGATTACCTATTCCTTAGGAATGGGAATGGATTTTAATTCCTGCCAACCAACCATGGGAATAGGCATTACCAGGGAATGCACATTCCATTCCCAAGCCTTAATCCCGCATACCGGATGCAAGGCTTTCTGTGATCTGCATAAGGGATCTTGTTTGATTCAGCTGAAATGTATGTTTTGGCAACTAGTTCTATCTAAATGATAAACCAATGGCTTAAACCAGCATGGAGTTGATGATCATTTAGAATTTACACAATAGTATAACAGCTCCAAGCTGTTAACTCTATTGAAACTTTAGTAGCTTTTGGAGGGGGAATAATTAGTTGAAGGAAGTTGCTCAAGAACTCCCCATTATGCGCATCGTGAACTCCCCATTATGCGCATTGATGTTTTTTTAATTTGGTTATTTTTCCTTTTATTACATCTAACTGGAGCTTGTTGACTATGCCGCCTTGTTGAATCTGTCATATCACTTGGTAGGATATTTATGCCTCTAACTTCAATACTTGAAGGCCCCTTTTATCATTTTCACTTTCTTCTTTCTTTTCCTTTTATTATCCGTCTTTTAATACTCTCGCAGGACAAACCTGGTTGCTGATAATATAAATGTAGTCTGCTTTATTCTGTGTATCTGAAATATTTACATGCTTCAGTGGGTGTTCTCAATTGCTTTGTGTTTTATTTTTAAGATTCTAGATCGTATCATATATTGTTTGTCTATGTGCAGCTGTTTCACAACCGAGGTTTTGGAAGGATTCGATGTGCAGAGAACAAGTGGTCTGGGAGATACGTTAAGAAAATATGGTTTTCTCACTCGAGCAATAACCCAGTACTACAGATCTCTGGATCCTGAAGACAAAGAGAAAAGCTGTGGGGTCTGCTCTCCTTTTGATGAATTTATTAAGAGGTGCCAAGATTTAGAAAAGATGACAGTCAGTGATGTCTTTGCCACCCAACTCATGCAGGTACCAGTTGTGGTTTTATAACAGGCATTGCAATTGATTTAAACAGTCCGAATGATCATAATCATTATACATCTGTATACTATTATGAAAAATAATAGGAAATTGGGGGATGCCCCTGAGACTGCCCGCCAGTGTTTGTATGCCCCTGACTTCTCTCTCTCTCTCTCTTGTTTTTTTTTGGTCAATTAGCCTGTGTCTGTTTAACTATGTGTAAATATTCCACTAGAAGCTGATCTATCGTTGGGATGCCCTTGCTTTTTATTATTGATCACTGCTATCTGTTGTGAGCCTGGACAATAAAAGGTCCAAATTAGATAAGCTGAATAGGGTGCTTCGACAACCTTTGCTGAGTACGACAGCCTGGTAGTATTTTCTATATTGTTGTTTTCTTAATAACAGTCCGGAAGACTTCTTTCTATTTTGTGAATGCAGGTCCAACAGGTGACAGAGGAGGTTGCCATCACTGTTCTGGATTTGTACCCGACCCTGCTATCTCTTGCTCGTGCATATTCTTCACTTGTGAGTTCTCTCCTTTTCCAATTTATACTCGATTGGGGCTATTCTGAAACAAATGGGGAGTTATTTAAGTGGCAAGGATGTGAAACCAGTAATTTTTTGGACATTCTGGTCATTTGGTTTCTGATAAGAGGATTCAATGAAAAAATAAAAGGGATTTGCAAACACTTGACGTTTGTCTAAAAATTAACAGAAATGAAAGATCCTCCAAAATGAGAGAAATTTTTAGTGATCACAAAACACATTGGAGGTCATTGTATTTATTAGTACTATGTTGCAAGAAGAAACAAAAGTAAAAAAGCATTACTCGGAGGTGTTAGTATATGGTCCAACTGTTTAAGTGATCAAGTATGTTGGTTGGTTCATTGTGAAAGGTTTGATTTTTTGTGGTTTTGGAAGAATTTTTTTCTTTTTGACTGCTCAACTTTGGGTCTCTATGGAAACAGTAGAATACTTTCCTTTTCTACACGTCTACTTGATGGGTATGGGAAGGCTTTGCCTTGCATGTGAGATTTTCTTTTGGTATGGGTGTGAATGTGTTAGCAAGCGATGGCATTGTCTCAATAAGAGGCCTAGATGTTTTTGTGCTTGAGTTTCAAGACCCTATGGAGGCTAAGATGGAGACTTTACTGATTGCAAGATACACAAGTTATTTTCTTTGTGTATGTATTTCATAGTTTGGTGTGATCCCTTAAACAACCTTTTATTCAATTGATGGGGTGAATATTTGCCCCACCAATAAAATTTTGGCCCTAAAGACATAAAGTCTAATAGTTGGTTCACAAGTGAGTTGAAGAACTAAAGTAGGTCAACTATGAGGTAATGAATGTGAATTGAGCAGCTTAGGTTCAAAGTTTTTAGTCAGTTAAGCGTTATGCTTTTAGGTCAGACCCATACCCATTCTTCCCTTTTTTGCTAAACAAAGTGAAAAAAGTAGGGTGGAGATTGAGAGGATAAAATGGAGAGAGAGAGAAGGGAAAGACAAAGATGGGACTAGAGAGAGAAGACGAAAATTGGTTTTTTTTTTGGGGGGGGGGGGGGGGTTGTGGATCATTGTTCAAACAAGTTTTACTATTTTTTGTTCCTTAAAACTGTTTCAAAAAACATATATCCAAACAGGTTTTGCAATATAAAATATCTAAACACCTTTTTTAAAACTCTTTTCAAATATTATTTTTGAATACTGTTTTTTGAGATGCAATCCGAACACGCCCTAAAATTCTCTCTCTGTTTTTTTTTTTTCCTTTTTTCAATAGAGAAAGACAACATTATGTATTCTACAGTAAATGAATTTCTTTATGATGAATGAAGCGAAATTCTTTCCTTCTTTTTTTTAAAAAACAAAAAATCATGCTATGCGTTATGCAGTAAATAAAGTTATACAGAATGATCTGCACAGATAAACAGTGTTTCATTATTAACTTAGACAATCTGAGCTGGTTCTTATATCTGGATGTGAGCATGCTGGTGTTGAATCCTCCTCCATTCAACAAGTGTTTTTTCATTGGGATGTTTGATTAATTTTATAATTCCTTATGTTTATGAATAATCTAAGCACCTTTAATTTGGGTTCAATTTGCTCTGGAAAGGATGGTGACGTTCGTGCTCAAGAGGAAATGCTCAAGAAGCAGAGTAACAATGTAATCAATGAAGTTGCTAGTAGAAATATTTTCCAACTTATTTGGGGTAGTTGACTTGCTAAAATATTCAATGATTCATGATCGAAAGAAGTGCAATTGCTCATCATGGTTGATGCTGTGAAGCCAAAAGGTCATTCGTAGCATTTGTCACTATTGCAACCATTAGATTGAACAATGTAATAATACATGTTGATCATTTGTATATAAACATGTTAATCAAGCATATGATGCTGCGATATTTTTGTATATAAGCAATTTTATTACTTAAATTCCCCTCCAATTTTGCTATTTATCAATTTGATAAATACTTTATATTTGGTTGAATTTACATCTAGTGTTGGCACAATCAGCATGATTATATTTTTTTTTCTGAAGTGATGACTATGTTTTAGAACTGGTACAAAAGGGTGATGCTTAGATGAAAATGTATATTTGGTGGTTTTATATTGAACAAATTCAGCCATCTGTTTCTAATTTGTTGACAATTGTGAATTTTGAATCGATTTTGCCCTAGCTGGAGTGGTTGTGATGCTGCTTGAAACTCACTGCTTCAGGTCCCCACCTGGCAATTTCTCTAACTTGTCGATGTTGGGGTACTATCAAGATCCAATTAGATCCGGATCCAAATTAAAATCTGGATGTACTTAGATCCTGAGAGTAATCTATCATTGAGAAAAATCTAAAAAGTTGCATTTGAGGAGATCTCATCCAATCCCTGATGGAAATTGTTGTTTGGTGCTTTTATGACTTTAAAGGTAATCTTAGTCCTGACAAGTTAGAGAAAATTGTTGTCATCCATTAAATTGATATGAATGATTCGTCTTGATGTATATGCCATTCCGAAGTGATCTATTAATCTACTGATAATTCGTTTTATGGTAGTTCCGTCTATCACTTTATTATGAAAGACCAGATTGGCCCGTTCTGCCATAAGCATCTCCATATTGCTATGCCCAGACCCATTTTTCATATGACTTGAATTGTGAGATCAATGTTGGCAAAAGAAATAATGACATTTTTTTTTTCAAGTCAGCTGCAGAATAGAAGGTTTTTAACAAAGTAATTAGAACCCCCCTCCAAAAAAAAAAAGGTACACCCATCAAGGCTATCAAAAAATAATAAGATCATAATATGGCTAAAGAATAGTAATGCCATGGCAAGCCGTGGCCCTTGATCAGTTACTGAAAGTCAATGCTGCTGCTATATTTTCATGAAAATTAGCTTTTCTATTTGTATTTGCAGTTATATTTAACCTCATAACAATGTGCATTGGTATACACTGTCTCTTTGTTATCACTTTCTGCAATTTATTCTATGATTATCTACATAATGATCTCTCTCTCTCTCTCTCTCTCTCTCTATGTCCTTTGGCTTTTGGTGATCCGGAAGCTATCTTCAATTTTCCTTGTATTTGCATTCACATACTGCAAAAATTAAAGTAGTTTAATAAGGCCACAAATGCAGATAATGATAATTCTTGGCATTTCAAGTTAAAATGAAGAAAGTTGGCAAGATGTAACTAGTGGATTAAACCTACAGATCCGAAATCTAATCTATGGCATTTGTAATCTAACTTTCCAATGACAAATAGCAAAAATATCGGCTATTTCGAATAATGCTGCAGCTGTTGCTACTGATGATCAATAAGTTATACATTCCTAGGTAGGTAGTTATGTCTATAATTGAATAAAGTCTTGAACAAGCATGCCTTAGAGAATACTTGGCTCTGAGCCCTAGTCTTCAAGTTCTTTTATGTCTCTTTTCTGTAGCTTTCATTGTTATAACCATAGATTATGGTAGTAGTATTCACATTTTGTATAAAAGCCAACAAATAACCATATAACTCTCGCATAGTTCTCTCCAATGCGGATATAATCGCATCCAAATTTATAGATCCAGGGCCGAAATCCTTGTTTATTGAGCCAAAGTATGAATTAAAATCTTCAATTTTAGTAGTTAGAATAGGTAATTGCAATCCAGTGTTACACAAGCAAGACGAGTCTGAATTGAAGTGTTGCCATCTGACTGTAATTGTGGAAAGATAAATACGATAATTTGGAAAAATTCGATAATAATAAAGGGAACTTCTTTTGAGAGCAGCTGATCTTGTTTTAAATCACTATATTTTTAGGCGGGGTTAAGTTTATAAACTAACCTCAAATTTCAATTCTTCCTTTGTTGCATGTACTCTAACGTATCCAAATTCAGAGATCCGTGACAAACTCCAACTATCAGCCTGTTGACAAATGAGAAGGAAGAAGTTCAATCATACAATGTACACACACACACACACACACACAGATACGTGTATATTAGGCTTGAATGTACGAATGGAGAGGGGTTGGGGATTAAATCTACTTACACCAGCAGGGAACTTGTCCAAAGTAAAGCCGGCCATTCCAATAATTGAATGAACTGGTGCACTGTAGTTGGTGTTATCATATGTGTCTATCCCATTTTCATCTTTCTTGGGCATTGCCTTGCATTGTTTCTGGAAAACCGCACACGTCCTCTCGTAGTTATGCACATGGCCAAATAGAACCAAATCAACCTATATAGTTCATTGTTTCCGATAGTGAATAGTCTCAATCAGTTTACTAAATGAAATTTATCATCTGATGATGACTGATAAACTATAGAGCCATGGGACCTTGCTTACCTTGTTGCCTAATAGCAATGGCTCTACGGCTTCAACAAATTTATCGTCGACACTTGGAAGGATGAGGCCTTCAGTGGAACTATACATAGGCCTGTGCCTGCAAATATTCAAATTTTTTCAGCGTAAGCCTATTAAGGCGCATTTTGAACTTTCAAGTACTAATAGTTGATGATCCGCTAAGAAAAGAATTGAAGAAGAAATGTATCAGAGAGAATCTGGATCCGTGCACCTTGATGGAACCATTGAAGTCTTAAAATTGCTCTTTTCATACCAAAAATCCATGCTGCAACAAACAAGTAGTGTTTAAGAGCTTCTCAAAAATTCAACTTACCCTGTAAATATTAGCCAAGGAGTTTTTGATCGGTCGACTGCTGCCATATCCTTGTTCATCCATTCATACTGTCCAAAAAATATCTAAGTTCAACTCTACACCGGTTGAATAAGCAAATGTATGTTTTCTAGTTTTTTTTGAAGTAAAATTTTCAAAATTAAAATAAATTTTGTTAAAAAAAAAAAACAAAAGCACGTTTGATTACTATTTTAAAAAAGTAATCTATAAGCATTTACATCATATAAATAATATATATACCTATATGCATATATGTGTACAAGCCCCGTAACACTTGCTTGAAGATAAGCACTAGATGCATATAAAATTCGGGTGTCTGAAAAATCGATCACATTATATAAAATAAATTTTTTTTCTTTCCTACCATTATTTTTTAAAAATAAATTGACAAAATTTTCTTATAATACACGACCTCAAAAAAATATCATATATAAAGAATATCTGAATTAACAATTGTACTGAAACACAAATTAGTCAACTTGTAATATCATTGATAAAAGGAAAATTATGGTAAATTTTACCTGCTCTGAATTTTTAGACCAGTCGTGTTCTGTAGAAATAACTGTGAAGTGAACACTTCCTTGTTCAATAGAATACCATGGCTTATCTTTTGCAGGTGTTGGCATGGGAAAATAAGTTTCATAAGGAACTCCACATTCCCCACCTGAGTCCGGGGTCTCATAAACTGATCCCGACTCCATGTAATCCCTGGAAAATGAAGCTGTTAGAGAATGTATAAATTAAGTATCTACATACTCAAACACACCCTAGGGTGCCAATAACAATTTGCAAACCCCCAATATCTGGAGTGAGGTCTCATCGAATAGAAATTTTTTCTTGGCAGATCACTTACCATGTATGCAAATGGGGTACATTGTGTATACAAGCGGATCATTTACACATTAATAGTCGATGATCCGTTAAGGAAAAAATTGAAGAAAAAATATATGAGTGTGCTTTAATTTACTGCATCAAAATGACAAATAAACCATTGCAAGAAGATAAATTGAGTAATTTGATAGGGTTAATTACTATTTTTTGCCTTTTAGATGTGATGAACTAGGAGAATTGTAAGGGGAAAAATGGGCCATTATATTGGAGGTTTTAACATATAAAGGTTGGTCGTTAGTGGAGAAAGTAAGGGGAGAGGGATGAAGATCCCTTATAATACAATTTTTTTTTTAAACTTCTTTTTTGATGGCTCATTATTTAACTCGGACCATGTATACAAGTGGGTCTCTCATTTATTAATGTTAGATGATTCACAAAAAAGAAAATTGGCAAAAAAATTGGACGGGATCTGGATCCGAGAGAAAGGGGAGGGATGATAATTTTACTTTTTGTTGACACATTCATAAGGAATGAATGAAATATATGACCGTACTAGACATAAATGATGGCCCCAGACAAGCCCCTATTATCAAGGTACGCCACACATAGTTTATATGTTTTATTGACTTAAATATCGGAGGATTAGTGTCTCTTTGTTGTTATTAGTCACCCATTGATCTGAACCAATTTTTCAGCATCTGACAGTTGATGTAGACATTTTACTTGCTATCATATACGGAAAAATACACGGTATTTTTATGTATTATTGAAAGAAGAAGCATACCTCTCATGATTTCCAATGGCTGTCATGTAAGAAAGTTTAGAAGCCACAGGGCTGATAAGCTGTAGGAAAAAGTCCCATTCTACTAGGAATCCAGTGGCATAGCTTATGTCCCCTATGTGAAATATTGAGTCTATACTCCCAGAAGCTACTTCATCCGCCATGGCTTTGATCACAGATAACGATCCTGGCTATAAATATGTTTGTAACAAAATCAAAACTTAATTAAAATTAAGGTAAATTTCACACCCACTTCGGAAAAATCTACAGCATCAATGTAGCTCTTCCGTTAACCTCCGTTGCTTTTTCCATCAAACTCCATTAACATTGACGGAATGAGCAACAAAAGAGCCCATGACAATGTTTATAATACATTGAAGATACAATGAAAAATAGAATTTTTAAATTTTTTCGAGATAACAAATATAATTAGCCCATTGTGTAGTTATATATAAGGAAATGTTACCTGAATATAGTGTTCGGCAGAAGCATCACGGGGAGCCTTTCCCATGTCACCAAATGCAAGAAATTTGACTTCATCTGATCCTCCGGCAGGTGGAGTTTTGAACTTGATTTGGTTACTCCAACCAGCTGAATCACTGTATTCAAACGTAAAATCATCAGTGTGATTTTTGAAATGTGAGGGGATGTTCGTGTAATAAAACAAAATGTCATGGAGCATGAGTAATATTTACTCAATTAATAATCTTAAACTCAAATCGTTGAGAGATATGACATTCCCCGCTATCCAAAAAATGTGACACCCTCGTTGAATTCGCGCTGTCGGATGGATTCTACTTTGATACCACTTGTCACGGTCTCGTCATTCAAAAACTTAAACTGTTCAGTAAAGAACCATCTAAATCTTATAATCTTAATAAGACATTTCCAATCCAATTGATGTGGGTTGTGACAAAGTTCTTCAAATTTGCTAAACTCATAACTTTCTACTCACGGATAAAATTATAATGCCAAAAATTTATTTTTTGATACGATATCGAAATTTTTGTGGGATGAGAGGAGAACAAGGGTAATTAATTGTCAACCCTTTTGACAATTTTTTTTATTTTTTATTTATCGACAAATTTAAGATTATTAAAAAAAAAAAGAAAAAGAAAAAGAAAAAGAAAAAAAAAACTTACCTTCCATATTTGTATGAGACAGTGGTTGAAGGCTGGAGTCCAGTCATCACTGCTGAATGAATGTAGCCCGGATCATGCCACCCGAAATCCTTAGCCGGACTTGGTAGAATTGAACCTTTCAATTTCCAAACCACCAAACATAATCTAAGTACAATTTCTGTATCTAAGCTACGTCTCAATCAGAGTCAAGTACGATTCAATCCAGACCATGTTATAGATCAAAGAAGAAGTTACAAAATCAATTGATTTTAAGTTACGACACAAACTTACTTTCTTCTTATATGCGTGCCCCATAGGCACATAATATAATAAGAGGTAAAAATTTCTTAGTAGCTTACTTAATCAAACAATTGGTTTTTTTCTCGATTATGTATCTTATACTATCCCCATAAACTAAAAATCCATAATTCCAAGTATTATGGGAATACAATTTAGTTGGTCGATCAATCATGCAATATTATGATTAATCCCAATTTTTTTAGATTGATCTTAAGTAATCACATTAAGTCTTAATTTAACATTGTGATTAGTAACTTCACTAGTACGGTGCAAAAAAATTATTTTCGGTAAAGTAATATTTCTCTCTTAATTGGCATTAAAAGTCTTGCAATTATGGGTGAAGGTCACCAAATCAACATCGGTAGCAGAGATAGAGACTACTAATCATTAACAAAATAAGCACATAAGCAAAGATAAACCTCTTTCCTTTTGTTCGAATCTTAGCTTTTCCTTTCCAACTAAAAAAACTTTGGTCTGACTCACGCATTGGAACTTTTAAACATTGATGCTTGGACTCTCGTCTTTGGAACATCAGTT